CTGCAGACCAGGGAGACGCGGAGCAGCTTTTCTCGCCCCGGAGTACACGGGCGGCGGGACTGCGAGGTCCCGCAGTCCATGTCCTCCGGGGTGAGAAAAGCCCCGTTCGTAACTGCGGATCTGACATAAGTCGGATCCGCGTAAGTCAGGGACTGCCTGAACTAGCTAATAGCCTAATCTTGACTTCTGACAAAGGTCCATGAAACAAGTTACACACATAAGACCCTGACAGAGTCAGAAAGGCTGCAAGAACAAGAACAAAACCCACCCCATGGTTTCATTTGCATACACTGCAGCTTCAAAGCCAAAAGAGTTGCTGATACTACCATGCTCCTTTTCCCACAGACAAGGATGACAGACCAGGGGAGCAACATAAATGATACATCATCATACGTGCCTAGAAATATTATGAGTATTAGATAGGAGCCCCACAAAACAAAACTCTGCAACACTTTCTCCCAAGAAGAATTGTGCTAAAAAATGTAAAGAAAAAACAAAGAGGTTGAATATGAGATTTTTTTTTTAAATTTGAGCAAATAAACGTTTCAAAAATATAAAATACCTGTTTTGTCTTCTGATAAGGGCTGACCTTGGTAAGACACTGCTGGATAATTGGTAGGAATTTCTGAAGGAAGCAGGAAGAGCCCATCTAGAATCCCATCTATTACAGTCTGCAGATTTGGATCCACATTATGACGAAGTTGAGAAAAGAATTCCACTGCACCGATCCCAACCAACAGCTGGGCAGCAGATGGATGCTAGATCCGAAAGAGTACAAGTTTCTATATTACACCAGAAAGGGTGATCAAAGAACTTTAACTCAAATTTGGCTTTTTTGTTATCTTACAGAAAATAAAACATTTACAACTCAGTATCAAATATTTTCCTACACTGTCATATGGTGATTAGTGCAGGACAGTAGGAGTCAAGGGATTTAGTTTCGCTACCAACTATGCAAATGACTACAAGTTACATCTCTCTCGCCCCGCACTCTCTGATCTGGTGAAATCCATGGTTTTAGTTAGCCAAATGTCCTGGGGTTTACCACTTTGAAATGCTGCATGCAGCCTGGGGAAAGCAGTGGGGCTCTTGCTACACTCTTACGCCAGATTGTTAGTGCACTAAACACAAGAAAGACTGAATACTAGGACAATTGTCTGAAGAAATGTATTTAATACAACTGAATATTGGAAGGTACGTAGGAACAATTAAAGGGTTCTACTTTAAAAGAAATTACTGCCCTTCCCTGGTGGATTTGACTAAATGTTGTAGATAGAAATTCATTATACTCTTGGGTCTCGTTTATATACCAGTTGAATGACAATTGGTTTTGCCAGTATTTCACAATAAACTTTTAAGAGAATTTATAATCCAGAGCATATTAAAAGTGCTCAGTTCAGTTCCTAAAACTTGTGAAAAGAAATGAAATGCCACATGTAGCTTTATAGGAACTTTTTAAAAAATGATATATTAAAAGGGTATAAAACATTTCTAAGATTAAGTTGGAAGTATTTTACTTAAACTTTCATGTACTTGAATAGCTGCTGTAGATTGGCAATGATGCTACATTAGGTGCTATTTTTACTTGTTGTGGAAGAGGGCAGATTTACTATATTTTTCTTTCAACTTTTTCTACATACTGCATTTTGATGTTCGTAGAGCTGGGACTGCTTCTAAGTGAGTTAAATACATTCCAATATGCTTTCTTAAAAAACTACTCCATAATAGTTTGTCAGTGATGATGACAATGTCTATGCTGATAACCTCACACCAGCTGAAGCTCTGTTTGGACATACAGATGATGAGGAGGAGAACTCCAGTTTTGAAGGATTTTAGCTCTTGTGTGTTAGCTTGGTTGCTGATTGAGCTAAGGTTGTTGTACTTTTAAAGTTACGGTATTTTTGATACCATATTGTTTTTGTTGACCCCCTTTTCCACTTACAGAGCTAGGTTATTGTTTTTCTTTGAAATAAATATTCATGTAATTTTATTGGTATCTATCTTCATTTTTTACATTTACCAGTAGCTGCCTCATTTCCTACCCTAGGCTTATACTCGAGTCAATAGTTTTTCCCAGTTCTTTGGGGTAAAATTAGGTGCCTCGGCTTATATTCGGGTCGACTTATACTCGAGTATATACGGTATTCGATTAGTCGATAAGGAAGCCTCCACCTTCAAATTGCATCAACTACTCAATTAGCCCATTAATCAAAATTTTACATCCCTGATCTCATGGTCTGGCAAATTTTCTGGTTTGGCGCCAGTCAGGACCTGATGGTGCCAGACTAGAGAGCTGTAATGCTTGGGGCAAACCATTAACCTCTTTACATGTATCCAAACTAAGCAATTATCCCACATTTTTAATCCTGTTCTAAGCAAACCTTTGTTCTCCATTGTTCTGCTTATTTCAGTCTGTGTGGCAGAAGTGGAGATCCAACTTGAATCTCTCTAGTCCAGCACCCTCAGGATATGACCGGTTGAACCAGAGAGTTTTCCATACCATGGAAGGTCAATAGCAGCAGTATCAACACTTCAACAGTCTAGCAGCAGTATCAACACTTCAACTGTTTTCTGGGCTGTTAGAGAATAGTTAGCAGTAAATTAGAGCTAAATAGCATAGAACACTCAGAGCTAGAACAGGTGGCTGTAAACAAACTTTATGGGACTGCAGGAAACTTGGCCACAACCATGAGCAATGGACATTCAACTAAAATCATTATGGACAACAGATGTTTCTGGACCATAGAGTTCTGGATGAGAGAGGTTCAACTTGCAGTACATTGCTGGAATTGAGTGACCAGAGTTATTTCTCCAGCTTTCCCACTGACTCATGTCACTTGCACATGTTACTTCACCTGTGTGTCTGCTTCCTCATGTACGCAATAGTTTCAGTGATACTCATCTTCATTTGTAAGTTATTTTAAGTTAGTTACAAAGCACTCTTCTATTCAGTGTGAATAAATTCCATTTCTGTCTAAAGTTGTAAATGCATATAGTTTAAAAACAACATTTCATACCTTCACCAAGTTGTTCACCAAATTTAGTAACTCCTCTTTCATTGGTACGATAGGAAAATTGAACCATTCCAGCAGATAGATAAAAAGCAACTTTTCTTGGACGAGGTCAGCATATGAAATCAAATTATGATCTAATTTACACACTATATTTCTGAGCGCTCGTTCTCTTATCTCCACAAGTTGATGACCTGTGCAAAAGGGGAAGGACAACATGCTAAGGAATTAAAGTGGTTCAGAAAATATCAGCAATACCCAATTTGTAGCCTTGTTCAATGTCTGAGGCGGGCAATCTAAGATTTAGGAAAGCTTGTAGTCCTGCTTGTGACTAGGGACATGAAACTTAGTTTAATCGACTAGTTGATGGATTTTCCCTTGATTGCCATTCCCATCTCCAGTGCAAGAAGCAAAACAAGACACCGAGTCGGGCACAGGGATGGCAGGAAGACCCCGCGCACGCTCTTGGTTTGCGAAGGGGGCCACGCGGTGTTGCCTTGCTCGTTGAGAATAACCGGGGGCACAGCGAGGGTGCACGCGGGCGGGTGCACACACCTGTGCAGAGCCTGGCGGATATGCCCGCGCGTGTCCGTGTGCGCGCCCCCCCGAGGTGCGGCCAGTTCGGCCGTGGCAGCGGGACCCGCCCCCGCTTCGCAGCCCCTGGAGGGAGGGGGTCCCGGGACGCCCCGAGCGAGGGGTTGGGCAGGGACCGCGGGTCACTCACCGAGTTTCCTGATGAGCGGAGCCAGCTCCATCCCCGCGGCGCCGCTCTGCCCGCCCAATGGTAACGTGGGCCCGGAACGTTGGCAGGCGATCGTTTGTTCAGCCCGGGCCGTGTGGTCACTGCTGAAACAGCAGGGGGCAGCAGGAGGTTGAGGCGCGTGCGTCGAGCTCTCGCGGGAAGGGCGCCACGCTGCAGGTGCTTCACATGGTGTCAGCCCCTTTGGAACCCCTAGTGGGAGCTGCGGGACATGAAGCGCCCCAAAGGCGTGAAGGGACCTCCCCCGCCCCCCCAGCTCTTCTAGGCCCGGGCCGTGTGGTCACTGCTGAAACAGCAGGGGGCAGCAGGAGGTTGAGGCGCGTGCGTCGAGCTCTCGCGGGAAGGGCGCCACGCTGCAGGTGCTTCACATGGTGTCAGCCCCTTTGGAACCCCTAGTGGGAGCTGCGGGACATGAAGCGCCCCAAAGGCGTGAAGGGACCTCCCCCGCCCCCCCAGCTCTTCTAGTTCTGGATCCCCCTCCTCCCTCAAAGCTGTAACCAAGCCCCATCTCACTAAAGGATTCATGTTTCCAAACTTTCCGTTGCAACCAGAGGGCTAGATACTTACTCCTTTTTATGGTAAAAGAGGAAACTCCCAGACAATCGCATGATTCCAGCAGTTGGGGCTTTAAGGAAATCCAAACATCATTAGGCACCAAGGCAGGCACCAAAAGTCACAGCCAGTCCTTTTATGACAATACGGGGCAGTAGCCACAAACAGATATTGAACTGATATAATGAAAAGTGTTAATTTCAAACAATGTAGTTAATACAGTGCATATTTGGTGTTGATCAGCCCTAATCGATTTACCTGCCTTTAGGGAATCTAGGCTAAATTATTCTAATCCCTGCATGATTTTCATAGGCTGACCCTCTCTACTCTAGCACCATCAGGACCTGACCAGTGCTGGAGTATGGGAGGTCAATATTATCTGGTGGCATAGCCAACACTTCCAGTGCTTACTGAGCTTTTACAAGACATTTAGGCATATCTTAGAGCTAAATAACAGCACCGGACATTAAGAGCCAAGACCAGTGACTGTAAACCAGGGTTGCAAAATCTAAGGCCTAGGGGCTGGATGCAGCCTCCGGATAACCTGGATCCAGCCCCCAAGGCTTGGGGCTCTGCCCCCCCCCCCTTACCGCCACAGGGCTGGAGCACGCAAAATTTAAGGCTTCGTCTATACTGTGCTCTCTTGAGTGAGAGAATATGCAAATGAGGTGAAGCGGTGAATATCACCGCACCTCATTTGCTTACTTAATGAGCCGCCATTTTGCGCAAGGGGCTTTTGTGCAAAAAGGAGCTGTCTATATTGCTCCTTTTTGCACAAAAACCCTCTTGCACAAGAGCCATTCTGCCGCTTTTTTTTCATGTAGATGGCTCCTTTTTGTGCAAAATCCCTTTGGGCAAAAATGGCGTCTCATTAAGTATGCAAATGAGGTGCAGCTATATTCACTGCTTTGCCTCATTTGCATATTCTCTTGTGCAAGACAGCGCAGTAAACACGTAGCCTAATAGTCTGACCTCTTAGGCTCTAGTGTGCAAAGGGAATGTGGGGAGTGTCTTTCTCCTTCTCAGTCAAGGACCACATCAGTGAGGGATTGTTTGTTTCTTTTTGCTTCTGACTCCTATGCAGCCTCTGTCTGATTTTTCTGTGAGTCAGTGGTGCCTGACCCAAAAAAGGTTCCCCATCTCGACTATAAACAAACTTTATGGGAAACTTGCCACACCCAGGATAAGAGGATGTCCAGCTAACTAAAATCATGCCAGACACCCAGAGAGTTCTGAACTAAAAAAGTTCAACCTGTAGTGGCATGTTATTTTAGCAGATACACTGTATGAGAGAAAAATCTCAGAAGGAGTCATTCTATTTGATCCTTGGTAAAAATATATAAAGTAGCAATATAGAGGATGCTAACTTTGATTCTGTGATTTACTGTTCTGCTCCACTTTGCTCTCTTTCCTCTCTCTCTCTCTCCTCAGCCTCATGATCTTGATATCCAGCCTCATGATCTTGATAGGTACAATCATATAACCTATGAAATCGCCATCATTTAAGTAAAAGATGTTTTTAGAGGTATTCTTATGTTATATGAAGCAATTAAAAATAAAGTAATCAAGCTACTTGATTTGTGCATGAAGTTCAAAATACAGATTTTTTTGATTCTGGTAAAATATGTGGTCTTCTAGCAAATATAGTGTTTTCTAGCAAACATAGATGGATGACCTCATTCTCCCACACCTCAAAATGCTAAATTTTCTTTTGAGAAATCAGAGATGTCCATTATTTTGCAAACATAGTGTTGTGCCAATGAAGTAATAAAACAAAGCAGTTTTATTAAAAGTAATAATAAACCCACAATCATTGCTGCAATTAGTTTTTCCTGCAGAGGCTAGAATCAAAGATCTAACAGTGGAAAGAAATTGTTCATGAGCAATTATAAAAACTCTCTCTGACAGAGTGAAGTTTCTTTTAGCCATAAGTTTCAATCTCAGTCTCATACAGTGAAAAGTAAAATGTTCAAATCAGGAACAGTATCTCTCAGGTTTCCACAATGAGATTGATGGGAAACTCTTGCGTGTCATGGAAGTGTTTCACTTTTTAGTGGAATGTCACTGCATCTCAGCTGTGAAGAGAAGGAATTGCTTAGCTAGCACACTCACTTCCTAAAATAAATTCAATGACATCTATTCAGAAGAAAGCACAAGGCTAGATAGATCCGTAGGGGATACGGCTACACTGCAGGGCTAAAATCGAATTAAGCAATGCAACCTGAGCTACAACCATTACATAGCTTAAGTCAAAATAGCTTAATTTGGCTTTTGGCACTGTCTACACAGTGGGAAGTCAAAGGAAGAACACTCTTCCTTTGACTTCCCTAACTCCTCGTAAAATAAGGGTTACCATGAGTCGGAGTTAAAAGTTCTCCAGCTCGACATTATTTTAAAATAAAGACTGGCAGTGTAGACATGCACTTTGTTATTTCAGAATAACATTAGTTATTCCAAAATAATGCTGCTGTGTAGATGTACCCTAGGAGACTAATGAAAGCTCCTTTTCTATCTGAATTTTGTCAGTCACAGTCACCCTAAGCACTAAGGCTGTGTCTAGACTGGCATGATTTTGTGCAAATACTTTAATGGAAAAGTTTTTCCGTTAAAAGTATTTGCGCAAAAGAGCGTCTATACTGGCATGTGCCTTTGCACAAAAGGTTTGCTTTTGCGCAAAAGCATCCATGCCAGTGTAGACGCTCTCTTGCTCAAGAAAGCTCCAATGGCCATTTTAGCCATTGGGCTTTCTTGCACAAGAAATTAACGTTGCTGTCTACACTGGCCCTCTTGTGCAAGAATACTTGCGCAAGAGGGCTTATCCCTGAGCGGGAGCATCAGAGTATTTGTGCAAGAACCACTGATTTTGTACATTACAAAGTCAGTGTTCTTGTGCAAATACTCGTGGCCAGTGTAGACAGGCGGCAAGATTTTGCGCAAAATCATGCCAGTCTAGACACAGCCTAGGTATGTAAAAAACACATTTTTGTTCCATGTTGTATGTCTGAATTATATGGGTTACATAAGAGAAAGGCCCAGAAAACTCTCCTTCACAGTCCACTATCCCTGGCCTATGTAAATCAAAGGTAAGCATAAACAAAAATTGGTCATTAATATTTTCAAGTGCTACATCAAAGGGAAAAAAGGTATGTTATGAGACTTGGTACATCTGCGAGAGGATGCTGGATAAGAACACTTTTAATTGGTTATTGGAAGTGAGGGAAGGTTTGGCATTTGGATGAGGTGTATTTGTGAGAGCAGTAAGCAGTTAAGAAGATAATCTGGCCCCCAGTTATTGTGAGTGCCTACCCTGGGGATATATATATATATATTGCTTTTCATCTCTCAGCCATCTGCCCGCCAGCAGCTCCTCATCAGCCTCAGACTTCCATAACTATTCCCCAAGCAACTCTGATTTCTTCCTCCTCTTTGGCATTCCTTTGTGTAAGTTTTTCTGGGTGTCCATATACACATCTAAGAAATCCCTAATGATGTCTGTTAAATTGTTTTACTCTTTTGTATGCCTTAGGCCAAATACTCCACATCTTGAACTGTTCAAGACCAGGACTTGGAGTATCTCAAAACTTGAAACAGTCTAACCAGGAGATATTATTCATAAGCCAAAAACAAAGAATCATAACGTCTGAGCTCATTTAAAAAGACACAAAGTATATCATATCATACCTCTTATTTGCCTTTTTATGGAGACCCAAATCTGCACTGGCTTACTTTAGTTAATTCAGCAAAGAAATTCTGTTATACACACATGAAATATATTAACAGAAAGAGCATAATGTAGCTTCTCTTTTTTATCACCTCTTCAGTCTACTGGCTCATGCATCATCTCTCCATGCCTTCCTCTTTAGCTATGTGTGCAGTTAACCTCAAAGGAAAATCCTGACTTTCAGATATATATTTTTTTGAACAATCTATTTCTGTACAGAAGTCTTTATGTGTTCAACACGGGTCTTCTCTTCCTTCTTCTCTTTGTTCAGCCAAAGGGGAATGATTAGTATAAGCAGTTCCTCTCCTAGCTTTCAGCGAGCAAGTTCTCTTGCTGAACACATCTCTGCTTATCAGCTTCCCTTTACATAATTGAGTTTCTACTGTATATATTCCTATTGATCTCTAATAGAACTGTGTAATGCCATTGGGGGAATAATTCACCAAGTTTCATTCAAAGTGTGACTACACTGGTTAACAGTTTATCCCCTTATAGTGCTCTGCATACTCGCAGGGTATATAGCAGTCTCTGACATGATCTGTTTCTATCTTTTGGGCTATGCCTATGCTACTACAGGTTGGACCTCCCAGGTTCGGCACTCTGGGGATTTGACTGGTCCCAAATGAGGGAGTTTGCCAGACCAGGGGAAGTCAATTCCATCCCTCTACTGACGGGACTGTGGGATCTCCCAGGATACATCAAGACTGCAGTTTTTCAGAAAAATTTCAGAAAAGCAGATGCAT